GCCCCAACCACCTGCCTTGGACACAGACCAAGGTCACATTTCCTAAAGAAATATTTTTTTAATTATAAAATCCGTATACACAGAAAACCAATGAATCCAACGGCGCGACGGGCTGGGAAGAACGTAGCTAGTCCCCAGCACCCTGGGTTTCCGGAGGCGACATCCAGGCACGGCCCTGTGCCCCCCGCAACTCGGTTGTTTCATTTCTCATCCCCCAGGGGCTTCCCAGGCCTCGGGACTTCGGGTGCTGGTCCGGGACGGTCCAGGACACCGAGTTCAGCTTCCTCGTGCTCAGCCGGCCTGCGACTGCTGGACAACTCTCGTTTCCCAACGTACCAAGTGTTGCTGCGCACGGGACATCTCCGCTCGCATCATCTTTGTGCCCTTGTGCAAGCCCGTCTGGGAGACTCAGTTCCTGGAAGAGAAACTGCTAGGCGAAAAGGCAGGCGTATTTCAAATTTAGATGGTTCTTGCCAACTTGCTGGCAGGCGTGTGCCGACACAGCCGCCCCCCCCCTATGCCGCCACCCCCCCCCCCCCCCCCCGCTAGTGTGAGAGCTTCAGGCCTCTTGGCACAGCTGGACCCCCCCAACCGTTTTGACCCCCGTCATCTGACAGGGGACAGCTGGTGTCCTGGTGGGTTTTTATTTTATTTTGTTTTATTTTAATCTCTAGTAATATATGACTTAGATATAATAAAATGCACCCATGTTAAATGTACAGCTCGATGACTCTGGGCCATGTCTACAGGCATGCCACGGGCGCCACGTTCAAGACCCAATGTCCCGGTGTCCCAGGACAGCTCTTCAGGCTGCTTTCCAGTGGGTCGCACACCCGACTGGCAGTCCCCGAGGGCCCCATCCCCTTCCTGTCGCTCTGGGATGGTTTTGCCCTTTCTAGAATTTCCTGTAGATGGACTCGTGCAGGGGGCACCTGGGGGCTCAGTCAGTAGAGCCTCTGCCTTCGACTTGGGATCGAGGCCCCTGTCCAGCTCCCGGCTCAGCAGGGAGCCTGCATCTCCCTCTACCCCTACCCCCTGCTCTCTCTTTCTCAAATAAATAAATAAAATATTTTTAAAAGATCTTATTTATTTATTTGACAGAAAAAGACAGCTCATGGGCCGGGGGAGCAACAGACAGAGGGAGTGGGAGAAGCAGGCTCCCCGCTGAGCTGGGAACCCGACACGGGGCTCGATCCCAGGACCCTGAGATCATGACCTGAGTCGAAGGCAGAGCCTCCACCAACTGAGCCACCCAGACGCTGCTAGATAAAATTTTTTTAACAAATGGAATCATGCGGAAGGCACCGGCTCCCACACTCAGCCCAGCGATCCTGAGACACATCAGGGTTCTTAATGAGGTGTGTCCGCCTGTTGTGGGCTGGTGACCATGGCCTGGGGGGACCATGTTTGTGGCGGGTCCCTGTGGCTGGACATCTGGACTGTTCCAGGCGGGGCTCTTAAGGAACTTTCCGGGGTAAGGCTGCACGTGAACATGTGTTCTCCTCCGGATGGACACCACGGAGTGGAACGGTTGGGTTGCGTGGTCCCCCCGCCACAGGCTCTCCATCCCCAGCTCCACGGCTCTCCGCTGGGAGCTGTGTGGCCCAGTATCACTGTGGTTCCTGTCTGCGTTTCCTGATTAGTCTGCTGCCTTTCGACATTTGTTAATAACGACGCTTTTATCAGGCAGAAATTTCAAGCATTTTGTGTAATAAGTTTCTCTTTCTGTCGGTGGTTTGGGGTTTTGTCAGTTTCCCTATAGACCCCAGCCGTGATGGCTTCAGGCCCCAGAAATGAGCCCCTCAGGCTGATCCCCTCTTACTCTTAGGGGTTTCCAAAGTGCCAGACCCAGGCTCACAGCCCCCCATCGCCCTCCTCTCCAGCCACACCAGGCCCACCAGGGAGAAGCAGCACAGAGACAGACATCAGTGCCCTCCCCTTCCAGGGACACCAACACCCACACCAAGTGTCCTGTCCTGCCATCTGACGGTCACTCCTCTGACCACAGGCCCCATACCCCAGTGGAGGCAACTGGTGAGCCGCAGGCACCCGCAGAGCGAGCCCATGGGCAGTGGCTGGGGCCGGAGAGACGGAGCTGGGTGTGGGCCGGTGCGCAGTGGGCACAGGGAGTGAGGTCCTGACCGGGTCAGGCCTGACCAGTGGGTCAAAGCTGCCTGTTCCTCCAGAGTTCAGGGGACCCCACCTCCGTCCTCTCTTCTTCCTGGCACACAAGTGTGGCCATGGTCACCACGGGCCCTGCGCAGTCAGGGTCTGTTCCACGGCCTGCTCCCCCTTCCCGGCCAGGGCCCCCCACTCCCAGCCAGATCCCCGAGGAGAAGCCCCTCTCCACTCATCCCCTCCTCCTGTCACACCTGCTTTGCTGAACCTTTCACTCAAGCTCCGGTCAGCTGCCTCCCAGCTCCTCCCTGACACGGGGCCAGGGGTACTCCGGGGTCCCTCGCTGTGGCAGGGTGAATGGTGTCCACCCAGAGCCTCCAAACGTGGCCTGGTGTAGAGTAGGGCCTTTGCAGATGTGATTAAAGTAAGGATCCCAAGAAGAGATCCCCCTGTGTAGGCGAACCCTAAAGCAGTGACAGGCGTCCTTGTAAGGAGACGGCAGGACACACCTCATGCAGGGAAGAGGAGAGGGCCACAAGCCAAGGCATGCCGGGAGTGGCCCGGGAACTGGGGCAGAGGCGAGGCGGGGCTCTCCCCCCAGAGCCACAGACGGAACAGCCCTGTGGCCTCCAGAGCTAGGAGACAATCACGTCTACTGTTTAAAGCCACTGACTCCGTGGTCCTCTGTGATGGCAGCCCCAGGAGACTAGCACCCTTGCTGGGGGGCCCCTGTGTACCCCCTAAGGCAGGTCCTGAGACAAGAGCCCCATGGCCCCCGGGAGGTGACCCCAGAATGTGGGGATGAAGGGAAGCCTGATACAGATGCCCTGATAGGGGCTGGCATGTGGGCACCTGGGGCTGCATCCCCCAAAACACGTGGGTTAGAAATGTCCCATGAACGCTCACACCTGGGGACACCGGTGACCAGAGTGGACACGTGCTCAAGAAGCCCACACTTGCCGTGCTGGGACTGTCCCGTGGACTCGGTGGGCAGACAGGTGTCAGCAGCCTCTGCCTCTCCAGGAAACTAGCTCCTGCTCTGGGTCCCTAGTGCACCCCCTGCTCCCCGGGGAGCACCCCACATGTCATGCTAGAGAGCTCACCAGACAGACAAAGGCAAAACCAGGGCCGCCAAAACTTCCTGGAAATAATCTGATACTCGGTGCTTCCAGAGGGCAATGACGCATTCCACGTGGGCCCAGCTGAGACCCATTCTCTTGGGGGTGGCTCCCGACCTTCCCAGGCCCCCAGTCCCTTGCCCAGTGTCCCTGCTAGGACCTCTCCAGATAGCCTGTCCTGAGGGACCCACCCCGCCTGCCTCCACTTCCGCCCACACTCCTCGGGACACCCTGGCCCTTTGTTCTCACGTGTGCCTCCCACGCTGGCTCCCGCGGTGCTCCCCTTGGAGGCTCCCCCACGTCCACCCTCCTCCGGAGGACACAGCCTCCAAACGCACATCCTGGCGGCTCAGAGGAAGGGCTGGTCCAGCCCCAGTGTGGCCGGTTTACGGGCCTAGCTGGGGCTCTCACTGTGAGTGCCCAAGCCTGATTCTACACTTTACTGGAAGCAAGCAGTGTCCCCAGCCCCCTGCAGTGAGGCCATGCTGGGGGACAGAGCCTGGCCCCAGCCCCCGAGGACCGTGGGCTGTGGGCCCTGGTTCGCGTGGGAGCCACACTGGGCATCAGGACCACCCGGTGCCTCCCCCCACCCACACTCCCTACTCCACTCAATCTCCACCCTGCCAAGTCCCTCCGTCACTTCCCCCACCCCAGACAGCCCCAACCTAGCAAGGGAGGGCACCGGCCCAGGGGGACCTGCCGCTGTTACATTGGAAGGACGGGGAGAAGGCACCTTCCCAGGACGCAGCAGGGAAAGGACAGCAAGAGGGATGTAGGTTAGACCCTGGGACTGAGCAAGTTGTTGGCAAAGGACACGGGGTGCCTTCTCGTCTGGCTCCAGGAGGTCCCGCCGGCCGCACCACCCAGCGGGCTTCACCCGCCCCAGCGAGCCGCAGACTGCCGGCCCACCCACTGTGGCAGGTCCGGGCTCCGCAGTCTGCGTTTCTAATTCTAGGCACGGCTGCTGCTGCCGGTCCTGGGTCCACACCGAGAAGGCAATGTCTCCCGTTGTGCCCAACGCTTGCGGCCAGGAGCTCTGCCCACTGCCTGGACCCACCCCACCATACCCGAAGGCTGGGCAGGCCGAGGGACCCCGCACATGACCCACGTGTGGCCTGCTCTGACTGGCCGGCTGGGCCAGCCACCTGCCCCGACTCCAGAAGTCCCACGGTCGGCAGGCTGACCTGCTGACGAGGGGTGGCCCCAAGCCCCACTCTTTCGTCAGAAGGAAACATGCGTGTGCCTCTGCCCTTTCAACCCAGACAGGCAAGCCCCGCGCGCTTGGGGAGCTTCCCCTCCACCTTGTGCTGGCGGGGTGAGGACCAGCGATGGGCTGGGCGCCCCAAGGGGAGCGGACCTGAGCTTGCAGCTGGGGGCCCGTCGCAGGGGAGCCCTTCTCGCCCTCACAGCTAGGGTTGGAGGGAAACCCTCCCTTCCCAGGCCAGGCCAGGGCTGCCAGTCCAAAGTCTGCGGACGGAGGGGACTCTGTTCCCAGGGGACCCCTGTGTGCCGCTGAAGTGGGTCGCTCCTGGAAGGAGCCTCACCACCTTTCCTGCTTCCTGTCCCATGCCGGCTCGTGTGGGGTCACCCTGGGTGTACACATGCCCACATAGTGAGGAGCACACAGGGACCCCTACCCAGACTAGGCCCCCAAGATGTGGCAAACGCCCTAGAAGACTCTGTCCCTGGCCACAGGTGGGACAGGTGCTCCCCACAGCTCCAGACACCCTGGGAGCCTAGTGAGGGTGAGGGCACCGGCCAGTGTCAGCTCAGAGCCATGGGGATGCCTGTGACCACCAAGGCCTGGGGACTGTCGGGCTGCAGGGGGAGAGGGGACCACTGACACAGCTGACGTTTCCCGCCCCACACCATGTGTCTGGTGACAGTGGGTCTCGGTTCTTTGGGGCTGGGAGCCCGGGCTGCTTCCCCTCAGCCCAGAGGGGTGCTCTCTGTGTGCTTCCCGCCCCAGCTCCGTGAGGCCTCCTCGAGGCCGCCTCCGGGGAGCCAGTGTCTCTCTGCCTTTCGGGGATCCTGCGGATGTGCTCTTCCTGCTGGGCCCTGAGGCTGCAGCGGGCCTTAGAGAGCTGCTCCGGGGACACCCAGAAAGGAGGAGGCCGGCCAGGCTCGGGACTTTCCGAAAGGCTCTGAGAGGCTCCTACCCATCCAGGACAGGGCCGTTCCTGGCCCTCACACCCTCCTCTCCTCTGCGTTCCTGGGCCAGTCCAGGGGCTCTGGTAGGACTCAGACACAGAAACAGGACAGTGACACAGGGCAGGGTCACTCTAAGAGACAGTCATGGAGCCAAGGGCCCAGAGCAACCTCCATAGTACCAAGCCTCAAGTCCCAGAGCGAGGATAGGCCTCCCAGGATGGAGCCAAGGGGAGGCTGAGAAGAGTGGGGTTGGAGGGGAGAGCTGGCTTTCCCCTCTGCGTGCCGGGGACCAGCCTGGCGGCCTCCCTGACGTCAGACACGCCTGAGGTTTCAGGCCCCGGATCTGTCTGTTCCTGGAACTGACCATGTCATGGCCGGCGCTGGAGTAGAAGGCCGGTCAGAGAGAGCCAGGGATCCCAGGGAAGGAACAGCAGGGCCAAACGTGGGCAAGTGAGCAGAACTCCGGGAAAACCCCGTTCTGAAAAAGTACTCTGGGTGCTCAGGAAGCATTAGAAACACAGCCTGCTAACGAGCCTTATGAGATTACGTCGGAAGACCGATAAACACCGTCATCTGGCAGTGAAAAGCGAATTCTCTCCTTACTGCAGCTGTACTGGGGCTCGGGGTCCCCATGCCCCCATGTCTGCGGGGGTCCTGGGGGGCTTGCAGGTGCCTGGGCCAGAGACTGGCAGGCAGGAGCAGAGCGGGGTGTGGCCCCTCACCTGTGCCCCTCACGCCCAGCAGGCTGAAAGATCGTGGTTCCAGGAGCCCCTGGTCTGAGGGGTCCCCTCACCCACCCCACCCGCACTGCAGGGTCCCAGCATGCTCTGCGCCGGGGCTGCAGCCCCACTCAGGGCGCCCCAGGGCCCCCACCTGCCCCTGGAAGACCCCAGCGATTGTTTCCTGGCGCAACTGGAAGCCGGGGTCAGCTGGAGGCCAGGGCAAGAGCTGGACGGGGGTGCGGGTGGGAGGCCCTGGGGCCCCCGGAGGGTTGGGGGTGGCCCGGCCAGCCCGGGAGCCACAAAGGGCAGAGAGAGTGCAGGGCTGCGGCGAGCTGCCAGAAGGCCTCCAGCAATGTGGTTTCAATCTAATTGTCCCAAAATATTGTTACAGCACGAACCACGTGCCATCCACTCACCTGCAACTAATCAGCAGCAAAGCTACTGAATAAATCGGTTCCACACCCGTGGGGCTGGGCAGCCCAGCGCGCGAACCCGGGCACCCAGGCCAAGGCCACCGCCGCTGGGGCCTGCTTCCTGTGGGGGGCGAGAATGGCCCGGACAAGGGGGCACCCGCAGCGGCTCCTCCTCTCTCTGGGACGCCCACCCTGACTCTGGAGGGTAGAGCAAGAAGGGCCAGGCCAGACCCTCAGGTCACAGCCTGTCCAGGCCTCAGAGAGTCGGCCGGGGAGCTGGGGTCACGCTGGGGCCGAAGCCAGCTCAGCCAGGGTCCGCCTGGGCCTGAGGAGGCCTCAACGGGCTCTCTCCACCCGGACTGCGCCCTCCCGAGACCGTGACCGTGGGGACCTTGCACACTCACAACCATGATCACATATCTGCCTCCCAAGCCACCAAGCCTTTGGGGAAATATGACTTGGGGGACACCATCCAATGCTCAAGGGCGCTGAGGGTGCCCTGCTTGGCCAACAAAGAGACGGAGGGTTGCAGAAGACCTCGGACATGTGGGAGTCCGTTGCGGGCACCTCGAGCGCGGCCTGCCAGTCAGACCAGGCACAGGCCCTCTTGGAAGGGAGTTCGAGGCCCAGGCCTTGGGCTCCGGGGAGTCGACAAAGCAGAATACTGGGGCCTACGGCTCCTTCCCCAGGACGGTAACCATGACCTCCACAGATCTGCCCCTGCGGGTTGTTTGACGGTGGTCGGACAAGGACCCGTCTTCCAAGGAAGCCCACACTCCCAGGTTGCAGGTGGGCGTATCTTTTGGGGGGATGGGGAGTGGGGTTCTCGTTGACCCCCCTACATAGAGACGGCCTCCCCTGGACCCCACCCTTGAGAGGCCGTATTCCGAGTCAGGTCAGACAAGTAAGTGCTTGTACTACAGGCATTCTCCCAGCCCCGGCTCTAGGTTCTTCAGAAATGAAATGGGGAAATGAGGCTCTGAGAGGTTAAGCATCTGCCCTGAGGCAGCACAGCCTGGAAACAGTGGCGCCGCCTCCTCCTGCAGGACGCGGTGAAGCCTGAGAGTGACCCTGTGGCTTTGTTCCAGCAGGGGCTCAGTCACGGGCATCCAAATGCCCCGTGGGGGCCGCGAAGGGGAGCTTGGTCCTGGAGCCCCACCAGGACCCTGCGGCACAGGCCCGCATGGACACCGATACTCCTCCTACAGACCCCGTGGGGCGACTTCCGTGCAGCCTCCATGGCCCGGGAAGGGGGCTGCGGGCCCAACACCAGCCCCCGTGGGGGTAGGGGACGGGCCCTGACTCAGCCTCGCATTCCTGCGGCAGCCCGTGGGCCAACAGAGCACCCCGAAACTGGAACTGTGGGGACCCTATAGACGAGGCCCAGCCCACGTCTATGCCTATGGGGTCGCCCTTCCCCAGCCGTCTCTGAAGAAGAACGAAGTGGGCAGAGTTGCTTTTCGGCTGCTGGGAAGCCAGGCAGGCCTGGCAGGGACTCCGATCCTCAGAGGGATGGGGCAGGGAGAGGGAGAGCCCAGGGAGACTCTCACCAGGCCCTTTCCTCTATAAATCGTTGTTTTCATGTGCTAAAGCATGCATAACAGATAATTGCACCATTTTAACCATTTTTTAAAAGATTTTATTTATTTATTTGACAGACAGACATCACAAGTAGGCAGAGAGGCAGGCAGAGAGGGGGGAAGCGGGCTCCCTGCTGAGCAGAGAGCCCGATGTGGGGCTCGATCCCAGGACCCGAGACCCTGACCTGAGCTGAAGGCAGAGGCTTTAACCTACTGAGCCACCCAGGCGCCCCTTAACCATTTTTTTAAGTAAGCACCCAACATGGAACCCCGCGCAGGGCTTGAACCCACGACCCCGAGATCAAGACCTGGGGCCAGGGGCGCCTGGGTGGCTCAGTAGGTTAAACCCTCTGCCTTCGGCTCGGGTCATGGTCCCAGGGTCCTGGGATCGAGCCCCGCATCGGGCTCTCTGCTCAGCAGGGAGCCCGCTTCCCCCTCTCTCTGCCTGCCTCTCTGCCTACTTGTGATGTCTGTCTGTCAAATAAGTAATAAATAAATAAAGGTTTTGTCTCCGTTCCCTGTCCTGGACCAGAGGGGAATCCAGGAAGGTGGGAAACGCAGGGGAGCTGCAACAGGTGGGTAGGGGACCTGAAAGGCCACACTCACAGCCCAGGCCAGTAGTAGCTCTGAGCTGAGGCCAGTAGTAGCTCTGAGCTGCCAGGGGCCCTGTGGGCAGTGGTGTGGGGGCGCTCTGACCCCCCCGGTTGCCCGGAGTCTGTACCAACCTGTATCTCAGTCCCAGCTCTGACACCCTCCCCTCCACCCCTGCCCAACCCGGCCCAGTGGTGTATCCAGCTCTCTGTGCCTCGGTTTCCCCATCCGTCCAAGGCGGCGAGAACAGGATCTACCTCTCTGGAGGTTCCTGAGTGTGGAGGCAGGTGCAGCACGGGGTTCCTCGTCAGTAACCTTGGCCTCAGGACACACAGCTCCCCTCTGGGGAAGAAGGTCCTAGCCCCTCCAGCACCCAGCCCAGGAGTCTCCGGGACCCTGTCCACACAGTCTGGCTTATCTCCTCCTAAAATGCTCCGAGGGCCTCAGGGCAGAGCGAGCTCACAGCCAGCACAGAAGTGGATCTGGCCGCCTGGAAACAGGCCCGGGGCAAGGTGGGGAGCAGGGGGCACAGGCTTCTCCCTCCCTCACTGCCTGCCCCTCCCTGGGGGCAAGGGTGCAGACTTGGAGGGGCTGACCTGCGGCCCAAGGCTCTGTCCAGCAGGGGGCCCTCTGTGTTCTGCCATCACCCTGGCCTTTCCCGAGGGGGGTGGGGGGGCTCTTTCTTGGTCCAGCATAAACCACTGGCTCTGCGCCTGGGGTGTGCCCCGTGTATGCATCTCACCTGACTTGCAGAGCCCAGCACGAAGGTCTGGCCATGCTGGTCTGTCCCGACCATGGACCGCAGGGGCCGAGGTCACTGGAGTCTACTGTCTCACCCTGGGCGGGCCGAGGAGGCACTTGGAAGGAGTTCGTGGGGGTGCTTGTAGACGAGGGGAGCAGCCCAAGCAAGTGATCGCAAGGAAGGTGTGGGTACCTGTGGGGCCATGGGGAGCCTGCTTGGGATGCCTGGCCTTCCACACCGTTCCTAGGGCGGATGAGACTTGGGCCGCCGAGAGAGGCTGCTTCTGGGGGTCCGGCCTGTCAAGGATGAGGCAGGGGCTCACGACGGGACCCAAGGCCCTGGCCTCCCCGCTCTGGGCTTCCCGGATCACCCCAGCTGCCGTCCAGACCCCAGAAGTTTGGAAAGGCCTGGCATTTCCAAAGGACGGATTGGCCTCCCCCAGGCCAGGCTGCCGGGCATGTCCACAGATGACCCTGCAAAGTTTCTTTAAAATGCATAACTTTGGGGCACCTGGATGGCTCAGCGGGTTAAGCCTCTGCCTTCAGCTCAGGTCATGATCCCAGGGTCCTGGGATCGAGCCCCACATCAGGCTCGCTGCTCAGCGGGGAGCCTGCTTCCTCCTCTCTCTCTGCCTGCCTCTCTGCCTGCTTGTGATCTCTGTCTGTCAAATAAATAAATAAAATCTTAAAAAAATAAAATAAAATAAAATAAAATAAAATAAAATAAAATAAAATGCATAACTTCTTTGAGCATGTCTTAGAAAAAATAAAACCAACACATCACGCTTCCGACTTCACAGATATGCTTGGGACGAGATCAGGTGGAAAAGCTCGTGGACTGAACGGTGGTTCGGGGTCCGGACACACTGAGGTTCAAGGCGTGGCCCCCCTTTCCCGCCACGCAGGGGCCTGGGTGAGGAGAGGGGAGAGGCTGGGCAAGGCAGGAGCTGTCTCTTAGGGCCTGAGGGAGCCCCTCCAACCTCCCTCTCGACGCTCCAGGCTAGCCCTTCCCCGTCCTGCAGGTTTTCCCGTCTGTCGTAGCCGGGGCAGGCCGGCCAGAGGCTGGGCGGTGACTCCTAGCTGGCCGGGGCCCACCTGCTCTGCTCCCTGCCCGGGGGGCAGAGTGAGAAGCCTGACCAGACTCCAGCACGGATGGGAAACCCCACCCCAGGGCCCGCGGCGGGACAGGTGTGGCGGGCGGCAGGCTCCCTCCCACACCCACGCCGGCCTCGGGCCAGGGCGGCCGAGCCCAGCCTGGCAGCTTCCCCTGGCAGACGCCATAGCCACGGCTCCCTGGGCCCAGGACCCAGAATGCAGGCCAGAGTCCCAGGCCCTCAGCAGCAGGGGGCGGGGGGGCAAAGGGGTGGGCAAAGGGGGGAGGTGGGGAGCCGCTGCTTTGACGGCAATGCTGGAAACTGGGGCTCCGGCTCTCTTCAGACCCAGAAGCCGCGCCCTGCAGCCTGCTCCCCGCCCCCCCCCACAGGGCTAGGTCCAGGCCCTGAGGGGAGGGGGCGGATCTGTCAGTTTCCCCACACCCTCTCTGGTGGAGGGGGCTCGGACCTCTTTAGGAGTGGGGGGTGTCCCTCCCAGGGACATGGGGGGCTGCTTGGAGCACCCCATCAGCCTCACCCAGGCATAGTGGCCCTGATTCCTCCTCTGTCCCCTCCTTCCGTTGGACCCAGGCACCAGGCTGGTCCCGGGGTTAGCTGGGGAGGGGTGGGGCAGGGTCCAGGCCGCTGTCAGGAGAGGCCTGTCCTGCTAGGCCAGGGTCGGGGGGGACGCAGGGACACCCAGCCTCTCCGCAGCGGACGGAGTCCTCAGGGAGGCAAGGTTCCTAGGAACCAGGAACAAATTCCTGGCAGAGCAAAGAGCAGAGGCTCTGGGGCGAAGCCAGGCAGGCGCGGTCTGGGGGACTGTAGAGTAGGACTTGGGAATGTTGCGTGGAGCAGGGGGGTGGGAGATGGCCAGTGCCTGCTGGCACTGGGGTGCAGAGGGCTGTGCCCTATGCCAAGCCCCGCTGCCAGCCTCCCCACTCTGGCTGGGGGACTCTGCTCCTGTTCTTTGGCCTCATGGAGACATGGTAACAGCCATCCTGAGGGGGAGGCAAGACCCGGGTGATGGGCTCAGAGCCCCCCCCCACCCCAGCCCACTGCCGCTGTCACACAGGATGCCGAGTCCTGGATTCCGGGCCCACCCTTCATCGGAGAAA